TCCTGTGAGATATCCAAGCAGTCCATATCCTCTGATGGAAGTGAGGATTTGCTGTTCCCAAAGCAAGTAATTGCTATCATTGAGCTTGATAGTGATAAGACTGCTTTGAAGCTGTATTGTTGAATCTATTTGTGGTGTGATGAGAGCTATAGATCTGAAAAACAAAGGAGAGCAACGATGGAAGGAGATGGATCAGAGAATGGTTTTCAACCAGCTCTGATACCATAAAAGGAAAACATTATGTCCACCATTAATGCAAGAAAAGCAATCAAAGCTCAATGTTCAAACTTTTACTAAAATGGTAGGGTTTCTTTTTGCATTACATTTTAAATGTGCATCAAATAAATGCCTGCAACTGCTACAGCTTTTATCTCTCTCACATGCACCTCGTGATTAGGGTTTTGCATAATCTCTCATTTACCCCTCAGCTCCTAAATGGTCAGCTTCTGCCACATAAGCCATTTCATTCTTTTTCCACATGTGCATGGTCTCCAATAGGGGCCAAGCCAGGTATCACGTCCGGTGGTACCGATTTGTCTGATCGACTTTTGAGGATGACTTGTTTTCTAAGCTGTTTTATTTGGGAGATTAAGCTTTGAACCTACACTCACTAACTTGGATGCCAACACAAACAATTTCCATAAGAGTCGGGTGCAGTGAGTTGGAATTCAATCCCAGCCTCCGACAAATATTACGGCAAAAACTAACAGTAAAATATTTCATCGAAATTATATTTTTCCTGAAATTTTAGTTGGAATTTGATGAATTCAACAACGTTTTTCCAATGGTCTATTGTTGTATGAATTTCTAGGGGAATACACAATGTTCGTTGAAATTATTTTCCACTCAAGTTTCAACCATTAAAATTTCCATTAAAATCGTCAAAATCCAATGAAAATTATTAAAAACTCGTTCAACCTTGTTTTTTTATTTTTGGGAATTTATGTTAGAATCTGCTGAAAAAAAAAAATCATGGAAATAATAACATTAAAATAACCATTGATTTTTTTATTTTTTTTTTTGAAATTTCATTATTTTCTTGTAGTGATGAGTGCTTGCCACTTAAAAGGTAATTAACAGTTCTTAAATTGCATTGCATATCATGTTATTTGAATAATAATGTTTTTCTTTTACACATTTTTGTTTATTGATATAAATTATATTTTTATAATGGTTTTGTATAACCTTTAACACATTTTTTAACAAAAACAAATTGGTTACACCACATTTTTTTAATAAATTTTCAATGGTAAAAGATATATATTTTTAAGTTTTTTATTTGGTTATAATATATTTGAGTAAATTATTAATACATATATATATATATATATATATAAACAATTAAAAAACATTAATATTAAAAACTGTAAAATAATTATAAAATAAATTATAACTCGTATATTGATAATAATTGAATATCTGGCATAGTGAATTGATTCAAGTAACGAAACAAAGTAATAATCCAATTTCTGATACAGAGGATCGTCTATAAGACGCAACTGTAGACCATACTCTCATCATATTACAAATCGAGCTCTTGAAGGGTAGAGACTCGTGCTGAAGAATAGAGAAAATGTTTCTCTTAGGTACAATTTTCATTATAACTGAATCTCCTATTTATAGGAAACTTCTGATGGCACAACTATAATAATACAATTACATCGAGGGCAAAATAGTCATTCACATATATTATTTTATAAATATTTCATAACAAAATCCATATTTTTCGTTACTTGAAGCTTTATCTTTTTCCCCTTTTTTTTTGGCTTTTTATTCTTCACTTCTGCCGCCCAAGTTTGAAATTTACGGCACGCGCTTTCAGGTTTTAGAGATTTTTATACACTATTTTTTTACTAGTACAATACTCGTGTATTACACGGGTGCTTGTTATAAAATTATTCTTGAATTTTAAAATTAATGAGAAAATTATATTAAATTTAGTTTACTTTTTTACAAAAAAAATATATTATTATATATTTTAGAATGATATGTGTTACTTATGTCTTACATGTGTTATATTATATTAGTTTTTATAACTTATATCATATAACTACTTGA